AGTTCACGGGTTAGTAGGCTGACTTATGTTTGTACATGCAATTATATATTATAATTTAAGTCAAATATTTTTAAAGTATTGATTTTTTTCTTACTATTTCTTTATGTAGTTGATCATTACAGATGTGAGTCGTCCTTGGCCACGTTTGGTAGTACCAAGCGCCGCCATCTCGTCACCTGGTCCGGTATCTCGGCATCTCGTTACCTTGTTGGTCACCTGGTCCTTTTACCGCAGGTGCAGACGTCCGCTATCGTGTTTTCCACTTGCCGAATCAAATAGCTTTCTAGCCAGAGCACTTTCTTCCATTCTCAGACCTTTTTCTTAGTAAACGTTATAATACTCATAATAGATATTGAGCACAACTCCATTGCTTAAATCATTTAATTTCTTTTTAGTTTTATAACGATAATTCTGTAGAAATAATTATACAGATAATCAAATATATATTTATATTCCCAGAGTATTGTCCTTTTTTTGTTTTAATAGGTGGGATAAATATTGAGCGGAAGTTCTTTACTTCAATGGTTTAATTTAATTTTTACTAATTAAGCTTTATAAACAATAATCTTAAAAAATGCTCCTCCTACCACATTTCATGGCCACGCCGATGCCCGCCAATATGGAAGTTTTTGCCTATATAGATTATGTGTGATTGCCAAGTCATGCTACTATGTAGAAATAGTATAAGCAGTCGTGATTCAAAATGCTTGTTAGGCCAAACTGGATCTAAACTGGATGTTGGTAATATTTAAACTCCTTTAGGGTTATTCAGTTCCTGCACCTGCAAAAACACTTCTATTATAAACCTTTATGTATCTTGAAAGTGTTTTAGCATACAAAAATGGAACGTCCAAACCGAAATTAATAATACAAATTCAATCTTCGACTAATTGAAGAATATCTAGAAATTCAGACAGCTGAACACCAACAAAAAGCTTAGCATTTAGAACTATAACGTAAAATCAATGCTACTACCCAGATGTGAAACATAAAAGCCGTCTAATCAATGGATTGAATTAGTTTGATGCATCACGTATTCAGTTCTTATTAACTAAAAAATTTGACTTTACTTAATATATGGTGACCAAAGTGGATCACGCAGGAAATTAAAGTCATGTAACGATAATGACAGTGTATTAGGTATACGCTTAGAATTGGGCACACCAAGCTCATACTGGCGATGCATAAGATCCCAACCGGATACAGTCATCTTCCAGGAGCGCCAAAAAATGTGAAGAAGCGACGCCGAACTTGCCGAAGTAGGTATACACACTATAAGTAATATGGCATAAATTTCTAATAGTATCGTGTTTAAAAGAATATTGAAAGTCTTAGGGTGCATGCGGAGATAATGAAATGATGAAGAACTTCTTTGATATAATACTGGGAGACGATCGAGTTAGTTGCAATTATTTAAAGTTACCAGCTATTACTAGCGATATGAAAATAGTTGAAATTATTAAACTGGACTTGTTCAAATAGAATAAATCTGTAGATTATGTGCTCAGACTTTGAGTAGCAAACTTATTCCTAGGATCACCAATTATTGAAATGAAGCAATCATATCGCTAGTGCTTCTGACATTGTAAAAATAATACCCGAAAAAATGTAGGGCAGAATATAAAAATTAAAGATGAGAAAGTCAAGACTGATAACACCATTAAAACATACTTTCACATGTAGTAGCAAACAAAATTTGTAACACAAACAAACAATAAAAATCCACAAAAGCATTTCAATAGAAGAAAAAATATAAATTCCGAATATAAAGATTATTCAAGTTGGATAAAAAAAATATACAAACGGAAATTCAATCACAATTCGCTAGGAATTAAGTGCCAGAGCGCTGTGAATCCATTTAAACATTGATGCTGTATCCAATCCGACACAGCCACCTATACATGTCCACGGTTGACGTTGGCAATTGTCTCGCCTTCTATTGTTATTTTCGGTATCTGCAAGTAAAAGTATTTTGCCATACAATTTCATTTTTATTTGTGTATACAAAATACTCGAGCTGAGATACAACCAAATATATACGTTCGTAGTTTTATGTATTGCCGATGCATGCTTTTCCCTCGTCAGTTGAAATTGAGGACTTATTCCATTAGGGGCACAATAAATAATGAAATCTGATCACGTTTCCACTCAATTACCTGTTGGAGTTTTGTGGTTCGTATGAAGTTTTTCATGCCTGCGCCTTTATTCACACGTTTCGATACAAGTTTTTACATTTAAAATTTTTAAGGTCCATAGTCTATCCTACTCGTATAAGAGGAGTGGAGGCATGGTATGTTAACTTTTTACGGGCCATTTTTAAGTAAATTAATATTTTTTAATTTACAACTGATTTATGAAATATGAACGAAAACTTTGTTATGCGCGATAGTTATAAACCTTACATAGTACATAGTACCTATATAAATGGACATCTTCAAACAATTTTATTAATTTTTTTTTTGGTAGAAACAGAAAATAAAATTATATTTATTTAAAAAATAAACTGAATATATCAGTTCCATCGGCGGAAAATGTTATGATTTATGCTTGTATGGGTTGCAATTATGATTGACTACCTTGAAAAATTACAAAAGATGATAAAATAATATTACGCGGTGTTATTAAACTAATTAGATAATAAAATTTTGAAGAAAAAACACTTCAATTGCAAAAGAAAAAATAGTTTTTAATGTATTCTTTCAAAATTTTAATGAAATTTGATGTTAACAAGTTTTAATCGAACCTTGAAGAACATATTTTGCTGAAAGTATAAAAATATTGAATAGTATGCAATTTTAAGCTTAAACATTAATGAAAATTTTATCAAATAAATATATATTTAAATAAACAACAAATCGACGAGTGGTTTCAGAACGCAGACCACGCCGTTCTTCTTTCTCTACAAGGCAGATATTTTATAAATCAGTGTAACGGATCTATTTGCACTGATTTATAAAATACTTATATTGTAAGGGAAGAAGAACGACGTGGTCTGCGTGGTCTTCCGAAATGACTTATCCAGTTAAACGACCCTGCCGTTAATTATGAAATAGTTATCCTATAAAAAAAGAAGAACACTGGAGAGCCCAAATAGGTATACGACAGTCAAAAAGATTTATTGATCCTGATCACGTCAAAGTTGATGCTATCCTTGGCCTTAGCAGAAACGATATTAAAATCTACACTGAACTTCTTATAGGACACTGTAGACTTAATTACCACATGAAGATTATAGGTGTGGTAGAAAGTGACTCCTGTTGACTCTGTCATGAAAAGAAGGAAACATCAGAACATGTTCTATGCAACAGCGGTGGCAAGACGTAGATTGCATTACGTAGGAAGCGGGATATTAGTGCCAAGTCAATTAGACAAAATTAAGCCCACAGAAATTACAAGATTTATAAGTAGTCTAAAATTGTCCTAAATATTGTTGGGCCTTTAGGCGCACAATAGATCTTTTAGGTCGGGGTGCTTTAATATGGTAGCCTATTACTTAAATAATAAATTATAATAAGTTTAGTATTACATCGACACTTAAGTGT